GGGGGGGGGGGGGACTATCTGGTAATTAGGTAAATTAAGATTAAAGGGTTCGGAAGGTCAACAGGGTCAATAGGTTGATGAGATGCAGCCTGAGAGAGAATTGGTCGGGATAGGTTCTTGCGGATGGACGCTCGTGTGTTATGCAACACAGTTGGCTTCACTGATTGGTAATATGGCGTCCTGAATGCAGGCTGCATCTCTCCTTCGTCAGGCACAATGCCGCAGGCGTTAATTTCCATGCGGAACGTATCGCACCCTGCCGATTCAATCGTTCCACCTTCGCGACCACCATTCCTCCCGTCGGCTGGTGCACCTAATAATGCACTCGCAATGCACCCTTCCGAATGTGGATCCTGGGCCTCCCCTGAGCCCCCCTGAGCCCCCCTGAGCCCCTTTTGAGCCTTCGAATAATATCCAACGATTTTACGAATTTCGGGATAAATGAGAATAATGTTACCGAGGTCAATCCTCAAGTAGAATCGCTCCCCAGACAAACCCGGCTAAAGCTTTCTTCGTTCTCCCGTGGAAAAACTTTCTTTCGAGGCTTCTTGGGGGCGTGAATTCTTGACTTTGCGAAGATCTCACAGATATCCAGACCTCCAGAATATCGATAGGTCTTATCCCGCAGGATAGCACGTGTAGTCGAGGGTCTATTTTAGGGCGGTAATAACGTTATAGACTGCTGCTGGTAAACCAGACGAATTCAGCCGTCGGGTTGGTTTTACGAACGGACCAACGAACGGGAATACAAAAATATAAAAGCCCGGAGTTTTAGGTTTTTTCAAATCTTTTTCTTTCCTTTTTCTATTGTCGCGGGAAACGTTTGCGTGTCCTCTCTCGCTCGCACCTGCATTTCATCACATTGATTATTTACATGGATACAATCGCGGTGCGAGTTCCAGGAAAATGAGCAGCGCTATAATTTCCCAACCACGTGTGAACGCCCCTTTACTAGTCTGTCCCCTTTCACGAGAATCTACCTTTCTTTGTGCAACACGCCTAATGGCCTATCCTGTGCTCTACTTTCAGCTGACGTTTTGCAACTACATAGCCGTTGACGAGACTCTGAGGTATATGCCGGACCCCAGAGACGCCGGTAAAACTCTTCTCACTCAGGAAGCCGTAGTCACTGTCCAGGGTGTTCCTCTTACTCACTACATGGAAGATCTCTTGACCTCCAAAATATCATTCAATGCTGGCAAGGTGAGCTCCCATTTTATCAAATCTGCAGCTCGATCCATTCTCTGACAGCTGACTGTCCCACCCTCCAGCGCCAAATAAAATCGGCCAAGGAAAAGGAAGAATCGTTAATCGTTAATCAACCTTGGAGTCGATCGAGGACTAAACGCTCGCTGTGTTTCAGGGACGGCAGGCGATGGAGTGGGTAATTGGTAAAATCGAATTGGAAGTTAAGGATCTGGCGAACACCGCGGTCAAATCGACCGACGAGCTTCTTTTCCAAACGCGACGGCAATTGGACGACCTCACCAGCAAGACCAGGAAAAGCATGGACGATCTTCAGCACGCAGCCAAGAAGTCATTCGACGAGATACACAATCTAACGACGCCACCATCCTCGCAATCGATGCCCAAGTTATAGCTAAGATTCCGCACTAGTTTCAATCTTTTTAATTAATTCCGAGGGAAAAAAACAAGAGGTTCGAGAGGGATGCACAGGAGGAAAAAAGAAGGCTTTTTACTCTCGGGCTGTGAGGCGATTCGAAACTACTTTTAAAAGAAAGAATTCCTATCGAGTGGTTTGCCGATTTTCTCCCAAATGACCACGATGCCAATGGTCCTGCCTGGGAAGAATCGAAGCGCGAATCAAAACTTCCTGATGGATCTAATAAAAAGTTATAACTCACTTGGATTTCTCCCTTTGACTAGCGTTTTACTATCGGCTCCATCGGTATTAGTAGTCCTGCTTCCTATAACTTGGGACAAAAGTGAATCAATTTTAAGAATGTGGTTGTGACCTACTCAGAAAGGATGCTGAGAGAGAGGGAGATAATAAAATGGATCAAAAGAAGCCAGCGAGTTGCTTCCTTGTGGAGGAACCTCTAAATTCCTGCGAGAACACAGTCCTTACGGATTGGTTACGTCGATGAATGCGGCTTTCGATGCTTCTGCAATTTCCTTTCTGTAGGTTCGAACCAAGCACATTCCGCGCATCGCAGTCCGATCGCATCGTCTTTGGACTTTGGATCGTTCGGAAGTGATATGATCGATTATCGCACTTTTGATTCATTCGCTCAGCGCGTTCTTATAGGCAACTCGGCCGATAACAAGATGTCATAGTTTTTCAAGACGAATAATCCAGCGGCGAATATTCGAACCAATGAAAAATCACTCTGATGATAAAAATTCATACGTCACTTTGCGGTCGAGACTTTCCTTAGGATTTCTTTAACGTATACTGAAATTATTAAAATGCTTTTGATAGTGAAAAGAAATTCGGGGCATCGGAAAGACACTGCGAATTGAAAAAAAAAAATATTATGAATGACTAGGAAAAAAGGTAATACCGACTAAAAGCGAGAAAGGGAAAAATGATGAAACGAAAAAATTAATGAAAGGAAAATAAGAAAAGTTTTCTTTAAATGTGCAAAATCGTTTGATCTAAATTTGATTCTAATTTCACGACGTTGTGAGCTTTAGCTTGACACTTGAAAAAAGTCTGTTTTGTTTGTCCGATTAGATTTCTTCCTTTTTTCCACATTTCACACGCGCTGCTAACTACTTACGTACATGATAAAATATAGCGACATTGTTTTTCTTTGTTTTATGGAATTCGTATACCCGTAGATCATTTTTCAATTTTCAAAAAACTAATCTTGATGGAGATACCTCATGCGGTATTATACAATAATACTACATCGAGTGGTCGAGTATACATGAAAAGATTTTTTCAAATTTTATTCTTTTGAGAAAAAAGAGAACATGTAACGAATGTATTAGCTTAGGTATAGAAGTAGAATAAGTTTTTCTCAGATTTTTCTGAGTCGTAGACAAAATAAAATAGAATGCAATCACGAATTGGATTTAGGAAGTGCAAAATATCTCATATCATTAACTGTGTTAGACAAACAGAATATGAATGCACGTGTATTCGTTTTTTTTTTTTTTAAGTATGAAAATACTTGTAATCGTAACGAATAAACTCAAATAATATACCATATGTTGTGAATATGAAATACAGTGTATTGAATTGTGTTATCTCTGACAAAGCACCTTGCTTCCTCTTTCATATGATATCTGAAATTCACTGTTTGCGCTGTTTTTCCATAAGAGTAAAGCGAAGTAGCTGTGGACGTGTGTTTACCAGTAAACGTGAGAAAACGTATGAGGACGGGATCACGATGGTTCGACCGAAAATTCTCCTGTTTGTAGTTGCGCGTGCGAGCGTGGAAAGATACATGGAGAAAATGGAAGCGGAGCTCTCTCCGCTTTCCCTTCTCTAAAGGGGTTCGAATAATTACACGAATACGAGAACAAAAAGCTTCTGATTGCCCGCAGCCCGGGTGGGATAATTCGAGTTACGGGTTTGGCAATTAACCGGAAGTCCAGCCGTGTGTTCAGGATTGGTCGGGAATGTCGGGATGCCAGAATGGAGGGAACCCGAGAAAACTTGACACGAGGAACGGCATGGTGTGTAAGAGATAATTGATGACGCAACGGTTCGTTTGCTTTGTTACCAAGCAGAGTCAAATATTGACAGCCTCCGCCGATGATGATCACAGGCCCTTTGTCGACATTCCGTGGTCCACGCGCGCTCTCGATCCCTAGCCAGCATCCCTCTCTCTCTCTCTCTCTCTTTCCTAACCTGACTCTCGCAGAACTCTCGACTTTTCGAATCTGGATAAAACCGACTTGCTGCTCATCAGAAAGAGAGAGAGAGAGAGAGAGAGAGAGAGAGAGAGAGAGAGAGAGAGAAATTAGGTGGCAGCACCGTCAGGATGTCCTCCGCCGACGCACCCTCGTGCCCTGAGCTTTACCTGCTACCAGTTTCGGCGTCCTGTGCTTGTGCGCTTAAATCCCTGATCATGAATTTCGAAGACTGTCGATACGTCACTCTTACTTTTTATTGGCTAACTGGCATTAGTGATGTCGTCGCGATGTCTCTTGCAATTAGTTTCTTGTTTCATGTTGTACCGTGTAGCTATAGCTCTATTTCATGAGGCAAACGGCATCTGCCCATTTATCAATTAGGCACTTTCACATGAGTATGAAATTTTCTCGCTTACGTTTTAGCATTGTGTACTGAATGTATAGATTACCTGTTTGTAAATCTTGCTCCTGCGTTGCACCTTACGTTCTCCTTTAAACTCCAGTGGTCACTGATTACGTTGTACCAGAACTCTCGGACTTTCTGGGCCTGGCCCCCTTTAACCAATAAAATGTCGCCCACGCCCCTTTGACCAAGCTCCGGTGTCTCCTGCTCGTGGAGAGAATTGTGCAAAAAGGTTTCTCGATCGTAAAGGGGATTCGACTTTCAGGATTCTCTGCTCGAGGAGCCACGTTCGGATGGGAAGGAGGAGGATGAAAAGGGGGCTCATGGTTTACACATGGTGACGGCTTGTCACGCCGTAAAAGCTCTCTCGGCGAACGACGTCCGGTCAAGAATATCTACTCGCGCCCTCGTCCTCATCCTCGGGTTGCTTGTCAATTCACAACTTGGTAAAAGCCCCGTAGAATCTTTTTCTATGACTGCTAATTCGGCACCCCCTTCTGACTTGGCCTCACAGCATCCAGCTTCTCCAGTGGGTCGAGTAAGGGCTAAGCGATTTTCTTTGAAAGAAATTGAGCTGCTCCGCAGGACGCCTTGGGACGCCTTGGGACGCCTTGGACGACTTTGGAATCCTTCTTGTCGCCTCCTCGTAAACTCGTCCTGCTGATTTCCCAGGAACGTTAAAAAGTTTGAGGCGTCAGGAGTCTCAGGACGACGGATCGGTCGCTTGACAGTTCTGCAACAAGCAGCAACAAGCTCCTTTTTATGGGACTTTCGCCATTTGCGTCCGTCCTGCTAATTCGAAAGCAAGACACGGAATAATCGGTGCGCGTGCAGGCGCCCCCTGCCTCCAACAATGTACTGGCGCTGAAATTTGAACGGGAACGGAACTGGAGGTTCTTGCAGCTTCTCTTGAAACTGATGATCGATATGGAGGCTAAGACGCCGAGACAGCCTGCATTAGGTAAGAGCATCCCTTCGTCCTCTCGGGGCCGCATTTCATTGGACGATCATTCAAAATTAGTCGATAACTCGGAGATACTTTGATAGTTGGAGCGAAGGCGATGCTGACGGCGGCGCCGGCGTCGGCGCCGGTTGAGAGTCCAGAGGACTATGGGGGGGGGGGCATTATGTATAAGTTATATAACCAAAGACGTTGAGCTGTCGCGAGCGAGGAAGCGACGCCGTGCATACGCCGCCCTCATCAGCATACAATTATCTCGAGGCTCTTTTTTTTCTGGTTTATATTAAGTGTCAGCCCTGCGCGCTCGAGGGCGCCGCCAAGCGTACCAAACCCCAGGACAGCCTTTACGAGCGGAACTTTGGAAGTTGACGTCATCGCGAGAGGCGCGAAGGCTCTGGCTCCCTCTTGCGATTCGGCCTTCAATTCGCGTCGAGCACGTGTTGGATTGCAGAGTGATTATCGGCTCGTCAATGTCGTTTAGCGCCAGGTTGTCGAGGTCACCTCGGTCAAAGGTCCTCCTGACGAAATTCCACCTACGAAGGATCGGGGCTTTCGATGAAAAATAAAGTAAGACATTGCGTGATTGTTCCAGGGCAGGGTGGCCAACGACTGAATAATAAAGCATAATAACCAACCTTCCAGTCCTCTTCCATTCCTTTTGGTATTTCTTGCTAGGATGCCTTCCATGGTTTCGTATGCGTCTTTACGTTCGCTGGATATCGGCTGTAGTTTTTCCACCCAAGGGGAGGTGGGCATTAATTAAATTAATGCAACGGCCAGACACGCAAACAGCCCATTTCCGGCCTTTACTTCGCGCCATTTGGATTTTTTATTTTTTGGCACATTAAACGAGCCACCAGGAACGGAGGGAGGGTCAACCCGCCCCCTGCCGGATGGTTCCCGATATTAGGCGATTTTTCATTTCCTTCTGAAAAGCAGCTAGAGTGGACCCGCAGAGCGGATCTCTGGCCGCCGGAAACAGTCGGGCAGTCGCGGGCTCCTACTTGGCGACCCCCTTAAAGATTATATCGCCTCGGAGATCGTTAAACATTGAGGCTGGACGTCGATATCAATTGACACTGTCGAGTTATCCATCCGTCAGCCGCTGACATTGAGCCCATCGGTTACTTGGAACTTTCCCGTCTTCCTGCTGGACCCTGGACTCTTTCGCCTTGCGGTCTTGTCGGCAGCCTCCCGATACTTTCTTCCCTCGTCTTTGCAATGCTCCATTACGCACGTCGAGAAGAGCCGCAACTGTTTCCCGTATGGGAATCCGATCGCGGAGTAAACTCCCCCGAGAAAAGGGTCGTTTGCCAGACTCGAACTTTGATTTTAGTGGTTCTAGTCGGGATCGCGCGAATGGCTAATAACGAACGTGCCTCGACTACTAATCGGCCTCATCGACATTTTGCAGGGTACGCAAGGCGAACGGACACCCGGAACCTTCAAACCGTCTACGTGCACCCAGCGCCGGAAGCAGGTCGAGTCTTGCGTCTTGTGCATCCGCGCCTCCCTCAGCCCCTCGGGGCTCCTTCGGGAGACTCTAGAAACTTGAGAAATCCTGCGCGATTCAGCCAATTCCCTTGGTCCTCCTATTTCCTCCACTAGACAGTGGCTGTGGCCCAAAGTCCATAGGCTTCGGAGGATTAGTTTCTCAAGCAAACTATAGCCATCGCTGGATTACTCGAACGCTCGAGCAGCCTGGGCACTGCTGCGCCCATGCACTGTAGTGCATTAAGCCATCGCGTGTAATCGAACTGCTCGAGCAACAGCTCAGCTGGCCAACTGGCCAATTGGCCAACTGGCTGAGCTGCCCGAGGCTGGAGGAGATAAGCTGTACACGTGTCGGAGCTGAGGTCACAGCTGACTGTTCCCTCATGCAAATACAGGTAGGCCAGCATTGGAACAAGGCAGACACAAGGAACAGGACTCTCTGTTGGTCTTAGGGGTTATGTCCCAGGTTGCGCAGCTAACTAATAGCCTCTTAGCCTCGGCTTACGCGGATCATGCTACCGCCAGCCAGTCTCCCTCCCTTAGCTTTAGCTTCGAACCTCCGTCGCCCTCCGCAACGTCTAATTTTAAGCTGCCCAGCCTCTCGGCTGCTCAGTACCACTCCGGTACATGCAAACATCGATCTCTCGTTGCGTCACGGAGCTGGATTAATTTCGGGACGACTCTGGCCTCTAATCTCCCTCATCCTCGATCGACTTTCGAACTCAGCCTATTGATACTAAATTATCCTGTTAAGCTGTGTACTTACCAGGATGATCAGCCAAGCGACGATAGTTAGGTTAGACGAGAGGAAAGACGATGATCGTCCTGGTGAAAGTATTTGCAAATAATTTAGCGGATATCGGAGAACTTGGTGGGTGCGAAAGAGGAGCGAGAGGAAACGGGGAGCTTTGTGTCGCGGAATGGACAGGCGTGGGACACGGGTTAAGATCGCCGGCCAGGCCGCAGTGGCAGGTCGAGCAATGTTCCTAAAGTTCTTGAGGGTTGGGGATTGGGAAGGATGCTGCTACTTTTGCTGGTCATCTTCCAGCGGAATGGACCCTTGGATTGTCCGCAGTCCTAGTTTCGTCTGACACTTTGAAAAGGATGCGTGCCGACCGGAACCTGCAGTGGTCGCTCGACGGCATCGCAGCACATCGTCAATCTCTTGAAGTGTAAAGTCAATGCTGGCTCCGCTGTCAGCAGAATCAAATGAGAAAACATTAGCGCCCGCAGGGCTAAGGCCGCGCGTTGCGTTTCTCCTATCTTACGTGTCGAGAATCGTAAAGCAAATGACAGTTTTATCGTCCTTCGGCAACGCGGCTTCCTCGAAAGTGCGTATTACGTCCGGCTATTTGATTTATCGCGATGCTAATCAGTCTTCGGTACGGGAGGCATTCGGCTGGTAGCAGCTACTCGCAGGGTTGCCTTTCCATGGCGTAATCGGTAACCGATCGTCGTCACGATACCAGCAGCAATCGTTAAAACTGGCTGAAAGCGCGAAGGAGTGTTCGACGATAAAACGAAACGCGTCCCAAAGTAATCGCGAACCAGCTAACGAACCAGCTCGTACGGGGATAATGCGGCTGCGAAAGGGTTGGATCCGTAAACGAGTGAACCTCGTTTTAAAGGGGAGGAGCAAGAGGGTATTGGATAGGTCGCAAACTGCCCACGTAGCGACTACACTGACCCAGTCAAGCCCGCTTTCTCACAAACCCCATAAACCACCGTGAATAAAGAGTGTCGTTAGCCGACGTAGGAATAAAAATGTTATCACGGTCCTTCGACGCGAAATGGCGACTCGTGGCTACCGGGCAGGCACCGTTCTTCCTGTATAAAAAGTAAATACACACGTAAAGAGGAAAGAAACTGGGGAAAGGGCTGTAACTTGTCCTGGACGGAAGGAAGTCGCGGGACTCGGTACACGAGGCTCCATGGCTGTCCATGGAGTCTATGTTCATAATCGATTCGCAGCTCCTGTCGATGCCCAAGTATCCCGAGTAAGTGGCTGTTCCACGGCCGCGTGCACTGAAACCTTTACTATTCACCGCCTCCCCAGACTTCTCCTACACGCTCTACCATTATCCTAGCCTCCCCCCCTCCCGCACCTCGCTAAATGTACGTGACTGCAACGTCAGGGCGCAGCCGTATGTAGGCTGCGTGCAGCGTTTTCACAGCCGGTCAAATAAGGGGGAATTAAAGGGTTTCACTGAGAGGTAGAATGGCCAATGTGCGGAGAATCAGCGATTTAGATCTCGCGGATAACGGTGCTCCGATTCCGCCGCCTGCACGCAGCCATTACTGCTTTACGTTCTTTCCTCGAACTGGTGATGTAATAGTCCTGCATCTGCCGGCCACGTGTTACTCCTCGAAAGGACCCCAGTCAACGTGTATGTACATACAAATTTGAATGAAGCCACAGGGTGTCTGCAGCAGCAGGGATCGTCTGCTTCCTTGGGAATTCTACGCGTCGCTCGGAGGGAAAGACAACCTCGTTGAAATCCGTGGGAGGAGCGAGAAACGCGACTGTTTCCGCGAAAGTGTTAAAATAAAAGGGCCGTTCGTTCGGCGAGACGATAGCCATTACTTTTTATTAAAGCCAGACTGCCAGTCCAGGAGGAGAATGAGGGGAAGAAAAGAGCAGTGAGCATCGTTATACTAGCAGCCGAATGGCTCCTCCTGGAATAATTTTACAAGATAATGAAAAGTACGAGAAATTACGTTAACCGCGTCGTCCACGTGCGAAGATGCCGGCCGTCGGAACGCTGCATTAATTCTTCATTCGTTCACGTTACGCACATTGTATACGTAGTTCGAGCTGATCCTCGAGACGCGTTTCTTGAACTTGTTAGTAATAAAGAATAATATCTAATGATAAAATCCTTTCGATTGCGATAGCAGTGCCATAATCGATTTATAACACCGAGAATGCGACGAAGTTTCTGTAGATGGGAATTTCAGGTTCAGTGAGATCAGTTAGGTTCGAGGGACCGATTGAATGCAGCGACGAAAAAAGTGATACCCTGTTGTCTTTTGACGACAGTCTTCCTTCACGAAGCCGCAATCGTATTCTGGGACGTTGGAAAATAGACCTCGATAAGAGTCATCTGTTTCGAAATTTATTAGATTTGACAGCAGGCGCGTTATCGATTCACACCGTTTCTCTCGCTTCCTTTTTGTTGGTAGGTTTTCGTGAAAAATGCTGCCCAGAAAGTTGAGCAGCTGTCGTAGGAGACGCTAGTGCGGTGGAAGAGAAGGAAAGAGGGTATATCGAATCGAGAATGGAAATTCGATGAGACGTTCTTAAGGAAAGGAGGACAGTCAAGTGGCGCAAACGCCGTAGGGTGCCTTCTCTATTTATTCCCTTAATATATACGACGATTAAGGTTAAAATGAAACTTTCCAACCTTTATCCTCTATCTTGTAATCCTTCAGCTTGTACCTCATCGCAGCTGGGATTTGAAAATGATCATGGGTGACGCCTTCGAGCGGTGGGGCACAATTTCACTTGAAAATCCCAACAGCTTTTGTATCTTGAGTTCTCCTTTTTTCTTTTCAGTGCAAAGGTCGACAGGGATTGACAATTAGCTTCTTATCCTAAACGTTCAATGTTCTCTGCTCTATTCCATCGAATAACGTGATCTCGGTCAAGTAATTTACTACGTAAGAGTTCTGTGTGAAAAAAAAGGGAAAAAAAAGTCAACGGACACCGATAGCTTCCAGTGAAACATCGAGAGGAGCCGAAGAGAGTCGAGCGGAGCCGAGACTGCCCGAACGTGCGAGAGGGCGCCACACTCGGTGCGAACTTCGCTCTACCAACGCAGGTGGGAGCAGTGCGCGAGAGTGAGGCGGAGATAGGTAGATATGAGAGAGATGAAAGACTGTAGCTATCGTGACGTCCTCTGGAACGTGTATTTCCGTCGAATGGATCAGGATGCACAGAGGGGACAATCAGGAGAAATTTCAAGATAATGTACAAGCCATCCCCACGCTAAGAGTTATCGTGTTATTATCTAACGAGTCGAAAGGACGAAAATGAGTTGGTGGTCTCCAGAGCAGCTCGTGTCACGTTCGCGGAGAGTCTCGTCCCGTCCGGACGTCGAGACGACAATAAACACAACGCACCGGCAGCACCAAAGTTTTCCGAAGCTGACCTAAGCCTCGCGTTTACTGGTTATTTGAAAAACGTGCGCGACGTCACACGAACCTCTATCAGTAATAACGTATTTACGCCCGAGTCGATTGAACGAAGTGGCAGTCTCAGCAAGAGTAACGGCAGCTACGGATTCGCCGTCCAATATATCTCGAGTGAACGTGTTTCTCCAAGAGGAATACGGTGCTGCACATCGACGCAACATGACGGAGCACGAGAACGAGGCTCCGGTTAGAAATCGCAGAGCCAAGAGTGTCACCAGAGCCGAGGAAATCCAGAAAGCCGAATTACGAGTCCGCAAATCCCAGCCGGATAAACCGTGAGTATTCAAAAGTCTGTGTTACGTCTTCTCGTGTCCTTAGAGTTGAAATTCTCGTTGGTAATCCTCGTGCCGCCGACACTCCTCGTCGCCTGGAATAACCTCTAGTCCCTCCGGACGCGCTGCCTGCGCCTATTTCGCCGAACGAATCGCGTCATTTTTGCGACTCTCGGCAGTAAGGCTTGCGTCGCTGCACAATGCGCTTGCGCCTTCGCGTTCTCCGCTGCTGTCGTTCCGAGAGGTGGGAGAGAAGCAGAGCGGAGTTTCCATTTTCCTCTTCCCACACTCTGCCGAGCCATAATCGATGCACACAGGTCAGCGGCTCGTGTCGTGCCGAGGATTTGCGTAAAGGCTCGTTCGAGTAGCACCTATTTTTATACTTGATCTTCGGAAGTTTCAAGCTTTTATTGTGCGCATATTAGTGTCTATGTTGGATTCATTGTCCGTCTTTTTTCTCTTCCATTTATCTTGAAAGATAATGAACGAATCCTAGACAGCGGTACATACGTGACAATTATAGGGACCTCCAGTTCATCGCGCTGACGTAACATCATCCACCTTTCGCAAAGCAGCTGCTACCCAGAGAAGTTTAATTCCAAAATTCTGCTGGGCAGGACTTAGTATATTTTAAATTAATCGATAACGCAGCTATTACTTTTTTGTTCTTCCTAGCTTTTCTTAACCAATCTTGCTTGCCTTGCAGTGACACGAAATCTTTTATTACGTCACATCACAGCCGTTTTCGATTTATTTCTGTTAATACCCGAAAAACATCTGAACAACGATGAACTGTTCTTCGTTCCCTCTACTTAGGATGGTTTCTAGGCTGATTATCGTAAAAATCGGACAGATAACTTCTTTTTAGTTGTTTCTTCCTTCGTGAATTTGAAGAATGGAAAAAGACATCGTTGCAAGAGCTGACTTCTCAGATGTCTAGTCATGGAATTAGCTCATGCGTTATTCATGCGTGTTCGGCCTGAAAGGTTTAGCGGTTGAAGGTCAGGGACAAAGTTCTCAGGTTCGAAGGCAATTAAACAATAGTAACCTGAATCCATCGATGGTAATTACGTTATACGATTCTTCCTCTGCGTCTTATTGGAATAAAGAAAGAGATAGGGAAAATATCTCGGGAATCGAGAGCCCCTATGCATATAGGATCTGTACACGGAGGGCATGAAAAATGCTGACTAATATCCTTGCGTTCGCGGAATGCAGTGGCGCTTGTTCCACATTCCACTTTCACGTTCGCGTGCCGTTAATTAAAATGTTAATTCGGGTGACGGGGCAGAAATAACAGATGCCAATGGGGCTGGTCTGACTAGGCTCGTTGCTTTTTTCCCTCGCGTCGGAGTAACAAATGTTTTCTCGACGAATGAGTGACACCTGCTATATTCCGCCATTTTCAAGTCTTCCTCTGTATATTTATTTACGTGCTGATTTCGCTTGGCAAACACAACTCTGTCGCTGAGTGGTCGACTAGGCTGCAGGTTCAGTTGGCGCAAAGGCGACGGAACGAAATTAATTGCCTTACAAGCCATCGGAGTACGAGACACGAATCTTATTCCTCGTCGAAAGCAGACCGACCACCCGTTACCTCAGGATATACAAGTCACGCATGCAAATTTCCACAAGTCAACCTTTCCATGCGCTATTCATTCTCCATGTAGGCGCGTGTTACCAAGTGTTACCAACTGCTACTGTAGGCTACACGCTCGACTCTACATTATTTATCACCTTTCTTTATAGCCGAGGCTTCAGCTAGTTTCCTGGCTCCTTGACTCTTTGGCCCTTTTACTTTCGTTCTCCTGTTTACCATTGTGCTTCCTCCATGGGTCCCACCTTATTGCCTATATCGTACGGTGAAACGAGCTATCGTATGGGAACTCTGGAAGTGTGAGAGAGAAGAAGAAGAAGATCAGGGACATGGATCGTATTCGGAAAGGTAGCCTAGGACCAGCTCAGTCCACTGACTGATGATGAATATTTTTCTTTCCATCTATTAGGCAGAAACAAAGAGAGGGAAAAGACTGAAACTCTCCCCTTCCGGCATCGCATAACGAGCAGTAAACAAGGGTTCTCTCCTTGTGCTCCTCTTCCGTCTTCCGCCTTTCTTCCTTTCTTCCTCTCAACCGCGAGATCTCCGAAAGCCTCGCAAGAGTCTTGCCAAAGTCCTTTATCCTTGGGCCGCAGTAGGGACTCGTCGCTCCTCCCCTCTCGTCCCGTTCGCTTCTCATCACGACTCCCATCCGGCTCTCCTTTCAGCTTCCTTAAACGGACGGACCTAGGTAATATTTACTCGCGCGAGTGTTTGTCGAGCACTTTTTGTTTTCGCCAACTTTGCAATTAGACGTGCGACGGCCACGTCCGTGGCGGTGGCGGAGGCGGCGGCTGCTGATAAACTTTCGAATTTTCAGGATTCTCACCGATTCGCGAACACAAATCGAGTATCCACGCAGCGTCTATTTGAAATTCATCCTTATATCAGGAGAACAAATAGGCCAGCAGCACAAGGAGGGACACGGAATATTGAAATCCCGGCAGTCGGATATATGGAAACGTGTCCCGCCAGGTACTTTGTTGTGTTTTATGTCACAGCACTTTTATCTTAAATTCAAAAAATCTCAGTCACACCCTACAGCAGGGAGAATCCATAAGGTCATTTCTTTGCTTCGCGGATTTCAATTTCTTCTCAGCATCCCATTCGATTCACTTGGATTCTTTTTACTGTGCGAGGGGCATCCGCGAAAAAAGCACTTAATAAAGCGCAGTGGGAAAATGTCCCTTTTTTTCCTCTCCCTCTTTTCAGTGCTCTGCACATTTTTTGCTGCGTTCGAGAAAAAGTTTTAATCTTCCGTTAACAGACGTTCGCTGCGTGCACACACACCTTTATTTGCGCAATACCAATGGGCAAGGATTAACATATTGCGTGCACATGGGTGTGGCGAGTTCCATGAGCCGCGGGACGTGTGGGCCAAGTCGTGCGTGTGTGCGGAAGCGCCGCCTCCGGGCTGACGCGCGACGTCTCGCTCCTCAAATCGGCAAATATTTGGATTTTATAGATTCCGCTCACCTCGACACGTATCTGCACTTTCAAATTCCCCCACGTATTGCGCATTTTCACTTTTTCACGCCATTACGGATGCTGCTTGCTCCACTTTTTTCATTCCTTTTCTCAATGACTCGAGTCATTCGACGTAATATCTTTCTCTGGCAGCCCCCCCTCGCCCCTCCCAAGACTCGCATACGTGCGAGGGGGAACCCTTTTCAATTTTCTTTCTGCCCCTTTCTATCCCTTTCTACCTTCGCCTCGAGCCCCGGGATGTGTCGCTCCTCCTCGAGGACCATTAGACATGCCGGAACTCAGCCGGAAGCAGAGTTCGGCGACTCACCGGCTTGTCAGGAACACGAAGAGAGGCGGAAGGTTCCGGATCGACAAAAACTTTGGAGCAAGACGAACCAGCACAGCCAGCTGGAAGTTTGACCTTCCGATTAGATGGAATCCATCGCGTCGCGAGGGTCACCGAAAAAGTCTATGGGCTCGAATAGGCCGAACTCTCTGAGATGGTCCAAGTGCCCCAGAGAGCCCCAAGAGTGCCTCGGAGTGCCACGGAGTGCGGTTGAACGAACTCGCCGGTGGGTGATAAAAAAATGAGAAGACAGGAGCAGGCCAGGAGCTGGCCAAGTTTAAATGAGCTTTTTTAATGCTCCTGGCGACACGAGACAGTCGGAACGGGCTGCTTTCAACTGAAGCAGCCGAAGGAACTGGAGTCGCGAAGGGACACGAGGATGGTCGATGACGTCACCTAACGAAGTAGTCAGCAGGACACGTGCGTCTGAAGGGTCACGTAGCTGTATTAT